TTTACTAATTTAAAAGTTATAGTATGAAAACTATAACAAGCACAAAATGGTTACAAGGTTGATCCTAGGGACTGAGCCCATGCTGAAAGACTTAAAAGAATAACACATCTATTATCATTTTTGAAGAAACAGAATACATCAAGACAGATTCTTACCTCGACTTACCAAACCAATTACCAATGATGGCTAAAACACATGGCCAACCTGAGGATTGTGCTAAGCCTCCCAACAACCAGAATGCCACATACCAATAATAGTTATAGATTTTTAACCAGCCACTCAGTGTTCCGAAAAGAAAGGTCTGATATATAATGAAAGAAAAAGGTTAAATCATCAATATATATATATATACACACACAGACACACATATACATAAGATACTAAACATACACAGAGATATGTCTTTACTTAACAGCCAAATGTATATATACATGTATCCATACACAAAAAATATCAGAATATGTTTTAGTGTAAACAACTATCAAGATAATTTTGTAAGCAGTGCTTTCATGGCTTTAGCAGCTATTTTACCTAGTATATAAAAATTCCTTCTCATCATCATTAATCCTCTGTTTTTATTTATTGATAGAATGTGTGGCGGTACAAAAAATAAATTATTTTACTATTTCAAAAGTTTTTTCTTTTCCCATAATCATTGTTCTATCAAGATACATAACACTTCTAGTGTTTTTCTTTAGTGTATAAATATTGCTTTTGATTTAATGATTTTAATCTACACTTTTTCTTTACCAATATTTAATGTTACAAGTCTTTGTGTAGATTGTGCAACTTGTTTAGCATATGGTAGTCTGTATTTCCTGCTATTTTTGTTCAATTCGTTATTTGCCAAGGTGATACATACTTGAAACACTAGTTTAGTAATTCATGCTTACCAATGACAAGTGTCGTAATAAATACCTGCTACTGCCAAGTCCAATAACACATACTTGCTACTGTCAGGTCTTGTAACATATATTAGGTTGTCAAGAAATTAATATCACATTTTGGAACACTCTCATCAACCACCCCCCAAAAAACATACATCACGTATAATAGTTAAATTAACCACCTAAACGTCACATTAGTGTAGCCTACATAATGTGTAAAGTTTAATATACTCTAATCCCTTATAGTGATGGCACATGATGATACACACATTTT